GACAGACAGACAGACAGACAGACATAATTTTGGGGTAGTGGATTATTATTATTTAATTTTGATGTGTTTAGACTGTAAGACTGCAATTTTGGCACAATCTTTAATGGCAGTCTTGGTAGAGGTTTTTTTCTATTTCCTTTTTTTTTTTTTTGTGGTCTCCCAGCTTTGATTTCTGTTAGCCTTTTGATTTCCTTTTTAGATTTCCTTAGAATTCTTCTGTTGCCCCTTACTCTATTACAGGGATGTTTCCTTCTTTTTTTTTTCACAATTGAAAAAATATTTCTATTTTCATCCATATTTTTCCTGTTATTTCATAGTTCTCTGAAAATGAATACAGCCTCACAATGGATATCTATTTTAAAACGGATCACTATGTTAATTCCATGCATATAGTAAATAAGTTAATGATCCACTTGTTATGGATCAATCAGACTCCTAGATTGTGATATTTATATAGGAGTCTTTTAAAGTTGCAACTCTCAAATATCAGGGCTTTATTCCTAATTCTCAAATGTATCATTGGGTGAATTTACTAATCTCTGTTTTTCTAAGATTGAAAATGGGACTGAATATGTGCCATTGTGCAAACAGGCAGGAATCCCTCAGTACTTTCTTTAGCAACTAAAGGAAGGATCCCAACCACTGATAAGGCCTTCGGCCCATCGATCTAGACAGATACTGTGGTCGCTTTGCCTGAATGGTGCTGAAAGTCATTTCAAATCAGTCTGGTTGATAAAACCTGTCCGTGATGTCCTGTTGATGAAAAGCTGGGAGCTCTGTCTGTTTTGTCTCTTGCCGTTTTGCATCCTGTAAAAAAGCACCCATTTATTCTCTTGCATGTCTCTGCTTTTGGGACTGTGAACAAAGGAAGAGAACCTCCAGATCCTTCTTTGACTTTTCTGTTAATGGGGATCATTTTTCCCCCTTTTCCAGGGCCTTGTGTCCTATGAGGAAGTGGCCGTGCATTTCTCAGAGGAGGAGTGGTCTCAGTTGGATCCGCACCAAAAAGCCCTGCATCAGGAAGTCATGCTGGAGAACTTGAGGAATGTGGCCTCCCTGGGTAAGGGCTCCTGCTCTGCTGTCTCGTACTAAGAAAGGTTCTTTGGTGTTCAGTGTAAGCAGCTTTTTTCAATACCATAGTCCCCTGCCATATCTTGACTCCTGGATGGGAGAAGGAGAAGATCTGGGAAGGGTAATAGATACATGGAGCAACTATCTCTCATACAGTATTTGAGGAGGTTCTCCATAATGTTTCTTTAATTACCCCAAGGGGACAGATTGACCTCTTGGTGCTCAAGGAAATTGACAGTGATATCCACCATATTTACGTTTGCCCATCAAGCACTTGTGTTCTCTCAGCTATTTGAGTCATGTCTTTCTATTCTTTGACACTTTATAATCCTGACCCAAATGCTGTACTTCTGTGCAAGCATGAAAGTTAGAATAAATAGATGAACAATTGCAAGATATATTTATCTGCAACCATGTGGTTGTGGTGAGAGGGGAATAAATAGGAAATTGTAGTAGGAAATGATGTGTGGTAATCTAGATTTTGTTCGCTCTGTCCTTTGTTCCAGTGTCCCTTGCCCCCCTCCTCCGGAATGCATTTCCCCTAATTCCTGAGATTCAGAGAACTGTATCTGAAAAATAACACAAATGTACTGTTTTGCTTGACAGAATGGATTTTTGAAGGTTTTTATTGCTCATAATATAAAAACTATCCATTTGAATGCCATCCATGCAATTTTATATAGATGAATGTTGCTGGGAATCGGGCGGCATATACATTTAATTAATAATATCCCATCAGAACTATAAAATTAATAAGCAATCAGATTTTTTTTTTTGGCAGAATTACTTTGGCGGGAAAATTACTGTCATTTTTACTTTTATTGCCTTTTCTAAGCCTTTCACAATCTTTATTATTTTGTTTCATTCAAGGTGTTAATGGGCAGGAGCAAGAGAAGGATGAGGAACCATTCCAAAGGATTAGTCAGAAAGAGAGAAAAGAAATGCTTTCAAATCAAGTGAAACCAAGAAGCCAGAAGAAAAACCAGTCAGAAAATGGGAGGAAGAACAGCTGCCTAAAACTCACTACAGGAAAACAGCATGAATGCATGGTGGATGGTAAGGCTTCCAGTCAGACTTTTCCTTTTTCTCTACATGAAAAAGATTGTGTGGGAGAGAAACCATACAAATGCATGGAATGCGGGAAAAGATTCAGGTGGAGACCTGCCTTTACTTCCCATAAAAGGATCCACACAGGGGAGAAACCATATAAATGCATGAAGTGTGGAAAGAACTTTCGTCAAATCAGTTCCCTTATTTCCCATAAAAGGGTGCACACAGGGGAGAAACCATATAAATGCATGAAGTGTGGAAAGAACTTTCGTCAAATCAGTTCCCTTATTTCCCATAAAAGGGTGCACACAGGGGAGAAACCATATAAATGCATGAAGTGTGGAAAGAACTTTCGTCAAATCAGTTCCCTTATTTCCCATAAAAGGGTGCACACAGGGGAGAAACCGTATAAATGCGTGGAGTGTGGAAAGAGCTTTCATACAAGTAGCAACCTTTCTTCCCATAAAAAGATTCATTCAAAGGAGAAACCATATACGTGCGCTGAGTGCGGAAAGAGCTTCAGGAGGGCCAGTGATCTGACTCTTCATAAAGGGATTCACACAGCAGAGAAATCCTACAAATGCACCGAGTGTGGAAAAAGCTTCCATACAAGCAGGCGCCTTACTTCCCATCAAACAATTCACACTGGGGAGAAGCCATTCCAGTGCCCAATATGTGGAAAGAGCTTCCGGGTATATTGGTCCCTTACTTCGCATAAAAGAATACACACAGGGGAGAAGCCACATAAATGTATGGAATGCGGAAAGAGCTTCAGCAACAGCAGTAGTCTTACTTTCCATGTCAGGACCCACACAGGAGAGAAACCTTATAAATGTATTGAGTGTGGAAAGAGTTTTAGTCAGAGTAGTAACCTAATTTCCCATAAAAGGATCCATACTGGGGAGAAACCTTATAAATGTATGGAATGTGGAAAAGGCTTCAGTCAAAGCAGTGACCTTACGTCCCATAAAAGAATCCACACGGTAGAGAAACCTTATAAATGCATGGAGTGTGGAAAGGGCTTTCGATGGAGTACTGCTCTTACTTCTCATAAAAGAATCCACACAGGAGAGAAGCCATATAAGTGCACTGAGTGTGGAAAGAGCTTCAATACAAGCAGCAATCTGTCTACCCATAGAAGGATCCACTTCAAAGAGAAACCCTATAACTGTATGGAGTGTGGGAAGAGCTTCAATACAAGCAGCAATCTTTCTACCCATAGAAGAATCCATTTAAAGGAGAAACCCTATAAATGCATGGATTGCGGAAAGAGCTTTAGTCGGAATTTTGACCTAATTTCTCATCAACGAATCCACAAGGTGGAAACCATATGAATACGTCGAATTTGGAAGGATTTCAGTTTCCATAGAAATCTTGCTCAATGCAAAGAATGTATACAAAAGCAGAGGATTCTTGTATGATACAGAGAATATATGAAAATGTTTGGTGACCAAAGTCCCTTGTTTCCCATAGAATGATTGGCAGAAGATACAAAACATACATGGAATTTTGGAAGACCTCCAGTTATAAAATAAGAGCAACTGGAGAAACACATCAAATGATGAATGAGATCCATTGTTTTCCAGGACGTTCCTTTCTGAAAAGGGTTTCATGCCAGGAGAAACAATAAATATGTAAGGAGATTTAAGAGAGCTTCAGTCAAAACAATGAACTGAGTTTACAACAATGAACTTGCAGACGGGGAGGCCATATAATTTGCAGCTGTGCAACTTTTTTCAGACTAAGATCTAAGGCCATCCTACAAAAAAACGGACCAGCCATGAAAAAAGATCTGCATTTGTTTTTATTTAATTTATATTTTCCTTTAATTAAAGTTAAATTGTATTTGTTAAATACTGTGAATATCATTATTCCCAAGACATTTTTGTAATTCTTTCCCTCTTTTGCCACATTAAAAATCAAAATTAGACAGTACTCAGGTTACAGATTTGAAAAGTAGTTTTAATTTAGATTTTTAAAAAGCCATAAAAGGGAGGAATTTCTCAAATGCTCATGTATAACCAAGGCTGCAGTTGAGGCTTTGAATAAGGTTGAAAGCTTTCAAAATAATCTGGAACCATAGTTTATTTTGAGTAACCCATGGCTGTGCATTCCTCATGAACACATTAGCCACTGATGGACCTTCCAACTTCCAGACCATAGAGGCCAGTGGCAAGATTGGCAGCAAAAGAAACACTTGTATCTCGCAAAGGCTGTGATCTTGGCTGAGCGCACTCATGACAAATCAACAAAAAGTCCACAGAAGGTGCTAGGAATTTGGTTTGGGAGATGGGAGGGGCTACTTTTCTCCAGAATGAAGCTAGAATGGTTCCATGAAAATCGCTAATGGTAAAATCACTATCGCTGTCCTCAACTTGTGCAGTCTTGTCTCCAAGATTCCTAGATTGCCCTCATAGGAAGTTTTGTATTGGCAGAAGAAGGAAAACACTTCCAAACTGGAACAAGTAAAGATGGCTCTTTCTCAGCAGGTTGCTATCCCTGACCTAGTTAACCCAAGGCTTGTCCCTAAGGTTCCTGGGATTTTCTGCATGGGATGTCAGGAGAAGGGAAACAGCATTTCCAAATTAGAACAACTAAGGATGGCTCTAGGCTGTCCATACAGTGGGTTGGGGACATTCCCCCCAGAGTAAAGTATCTGTATCATGACAAGCAGAACATGAGAATAAGTCTTGTATGCACCATCCTCTGAATTTTGCAGCTCCTAGCGCTCAGAATACACAAACTGGAGCACACAAAACCTGCATGTTTGTGGCATTTTGTTGGTCTTCATAAAGTTAGTACCAAACTCTGGACTTCAGAGAGGTTTGGGATAGGAAGGCAAAGGTGGAACTGAAGGGGCACTTCTCAAATAAGACTGATTATGAGACACTACTCCATTGACCTCTGAAAACTTCAGACATAGCCTTGATGAAAATAGACACATTTTCATGCTGACAAATTTGATATTTACAGAATAGTTTTCTTCTGACTCACGGCTTTTTTGCAGATCCCTCTGTTTTCTCAAATTATATTCCAAAGATTGGAATTTAAGGGTAGTCAATGAAAATAAGAGAACCACTTTGGTGTAGTGGTTAAGGCAAAAACCTACCAACCGGGAGATTGCAAGTTCTAGTCCCACTTGGGCACAAAGCCAGCTGGGTGACCTTGGGCCAGTCACTCTCTTAAAGCCCTAGGAAGAAGACGGCAAGGGAAAACCACTTCCAAAAATCTTTACTGTGTTTCATTATTGTATCCTTGTACATTTTAACCTGATTTACAGGCTTTGGGTAAATTTTTGCTCCTTTGGGCAAAAGGAGAAGAGGACGGCAGAGGATGAGATGGTTAGATAGCATCACTGAAGCAATGAGCATGAAACTGAGC